AAAATGTCCTATATATATATATATATATATATATATATATATATATACACACACACACACACACACAGTAGTAGTGGCAATGATATCAGTGGAGCAGTATCAGTACTAATGTAATATAACTGTATAATGGATCCAAATTAAAGGGCTCATACTCCTCTGTCACTGGCCTTCTTTTTGGATGATGCCATTCCTGACCAATCAGTGTTCCAGTCATCTGCTTCAGGTTGAGCTTTCTCTGTCTCCTATAAGTAGAAAGATTCAACAATTTGTGATACCCATTTATCCTAAATGACAATTATGTAACAACATAATGTCACATACACATATGTATCTCAATAATCATTTTGCATTTCTTTCTTTCAATCAAAAGTTGTGCAAGCATACATCCAAACTTCCCCAGTCCTCCTCTTCATCCCAGCGGTCTCCCATTGGCTTGTCATCATTGTCCGCTACTTCAAGAGTCTGTGGTTGGTTGGCACGACTAGAGGCAGCGAGGTGAGTCCGAGAGGCTTGTGGAGTTTTATCTTCAGAACCTGTGAAAGAAAGAAACAAGAGATAAGGTTTCGGATAGAAGGGAACCGATTATACACAGTGTGTTTACACGTCTTAGGGGTTACTACATATGCGAGAAAAGTAATTTGAGCCCCAGAGGAAGCCGTGCAAAATCTGATAAAATGCTTGAGTCACTTGAGTCAGTGTCGGCTGGGGCTGAGAATGAAAAAGATCTGGTGGTGTGGAGTTAGAAAGAAGTGAATTTATCAGACTTCTGTAGCCCGCCCATCACCCCTGCTTGAGTTTAGTGGATCATAGGTACACTAGCTGCTACTAGAATAACACACTTAAATCTCAGATCAAACTGTCAGCGGTCAAATTGCATTGTGGTTAACGTAGGCATCAGGTTTTGACAACAAAGAAGAATGCGTGGAATAAAAAAAAAAGACAGTATCTCTGGTTCTGCTGCATCGATTACAACCCTCATTTTAAAACTGTCCGTCTTGAGTCCAACAATGTTAGAGGAGTCAAGCTAATCAACTGTGATAACCCTACCGGGTGCAGGTGCTTCATCTGTGCCACTGGTAGGGCTGGTGTCGTTGTCGGGCCCACTGCCCTCGGCTGCTGCACCCCCCTCTGTCCCTGGAGCGTTGCGGATCAGCTTAGACGTTAGCGAGGACATACCGGTCACTGCCCAGCCGGCCCAGCTGGAAGAGGCACCTGCAGCCTGAGCACATGATGCTACGTCCTTTTCTGCAGGACGGACAGGAGAGAGAACCCTTTTAGTTACAGATTTTTAGAAATATAACTCAAAGAAATGTGTATTCATTCTGCTAACGATATGTGACTCAGCAGCAGAAGTATGTGTTTCGGCAGCACAGTGTGTTACATACCTATATCAGCCAGCTTGGTGGGGTCTTCTGACACAGTCTCCAGCTTGGTAAGGAAACTCTTAATGGCTTTGAATGCCTGACAGAGAGAAAAAGGCAGTTGAGAAGAGAAATGCATCAGCATATTCCAGACGACAAAAAAAACTCTACAGATGTTAAACATCAGTATGCAAGGTTGACCTTATATGCCAGTATTTACTACTATGCTGCTCTCTTTCTTTATTATCTTTACTCTAGGACCACACTGACTAAAAAGAAATGAATTAATTTTACTGCTGATAAACAACAATCTAAAAACTCTTAAATAGTTACATTAAATATTAAGCAACTGTATCCCAAGGAAGAATCAAACTGTCCATTTAAGTCATAAGAAACACCATGTAGTCACAAATCAAGTGTACCTGGTCCCTGACGCTCTTATCGGGGTCAACAGTAATGGCACAGAGGGTGGGCAGGATGCGGGCGGCGATCTCTGTTACACTGTAGTAGTTGTGTGTGGCGGCGAAGCCCAGTACACCAGCGGAGCGTGAAGCTGGGAAAGGGTCTTTAGTAGCTCGAGAAAAAGCGGAAATCAAAACACGTTGTCGAGTCTGCAAAGAGAGAAATAACCAAATTCTTCCATTTGAACAGATTCTTTACTGAACTTTGGTTTACTAGTTTTTTGCATTAAAGGAGTAAAGTGTTGCACAATGATGTGGGTGTACTATACCCCAGCGTTGAGGTAGGAGGCAATCTTGCCCAGGCAGACGGTGGTGTTGCACCGGATCGGGCCTTGTTCGTCTCTGGCCTGCAGCCGGGCAAAGTGACGCATCAGCTCCTGGTTCAGGTTGGTCTCGTTCAGCTTGGGAGCCAGCAGCAACATAGACTGGAGGGGAGGAACGGAGAAGAGTTGTGGCTACAGCGGACTGACAACATCCTGTAGATTAGTAATAACACCTCCTGGTCTGTAGTTGTGTTTAAGCACGCGAACTACCTTAACAGTCTGTTCTCTGATGGCGGGGTTGGTGTCTGTGAAGCCATGAACAACGTGAGGGAAAATCTGGGAATTGACGGCCGCTTCGTTCAGATACTGAATGAACTGCTCCATCTGAGAGAGAGAGAGCGAGAGAGAGAGAGAAGAAACAATGTTAGAGAAAATAAAAGCTATTATTCTTTAACACAGGCATCCTAGGTTTACCTGATATTTTACTTTACTTGCTCTAGAGCTGAAAAATCTTGATGGATGTTACGTGGTAAGTTAAAAATAAAAACTAAATCAGTGTGATTTTCAGAGGCGAGATGGAATAGGCCTCACATACCTGCTGCAGCAGTCGTATCCTCATGGCTCTGTCCGTGGAGGAAAACATCTTCACGATAACAGGAATGATCTTCTGTTGGTACTCTTCTGCTGACAGGAACTTTCCCACCTGGGATACAGACAGAAGGAGATAAGATCAGGGGGAAAAGAAGTGGTTAGAGGTGTAACTTCCAAATGGGGTCTCAAATGAAGTGTGCAAGAAGATATTGATACCAGTGTAACTGTGTCTTACTCTGACTTTGTTTCGAAAAAAGGTTTTGTTTATGTTTAACTTTGAAATTGATCAGAGATGCTTGGAAACGCTGCAGTCTACAATCTGGTATTCAATAAGGTGTGACAGTTGCCCAGGGAGATAAGGATTCACCTTGAAGAGCGGTGTGAGGACTACGGCTCCTGCATTGCCGAACTCAAAGGCGGTGAGCAGCTGAGGCAGCACCTTGTGTTTACAGAAGTCTTCAGGGAAGGAGTCCAGATTGTCACTCAGATCCTGGAAGAACTGCTGCTTCTCAGCTGGCTCCTTGATCTGGAGAGAAGATTTGAATAAATACTATTGTTATACTATTATATTCAGCCTGTTAAAACACATGTCTAATTATAATAATTAAAGGCCATGGGTAGTTACTGGTAATTCCTCATGAAATTAAACGATGTGCCCATAAGAACTTGATTCGTTTCTATGCTGCAGTTTGATTGTAGCACTAACACAAAAACCACTGTTATACATGATAAAGTTGTGTCTTTATGCAAGTCTGTGGACCTGTATCTCCTCCAGGAAAAGGTTGCTCTCCACAAAGCTGTTGCTGAGGAATCCCCCAGGGGCTCTAGAGTTCTGGAGGAAGCGGGCTGGGTTGGGCCGAGCTCGGGGGTTAGCCCCCACCAGCTCACAGTAATGAGGCACCAGGGCCTTGGGGATCTGTGGGCACAAAGAGGACACCAGTCATGGTCAGGACATCACTCTGTGTACACTACTTCTCCATGTCACAAACAAAGATTCCTTTTAGCCGTGACTGAAACCATGAAGGTTAAATTCAGTGCTTGAAGGCAACTTAGCAAGAACATTATGTGTCTCATTCACAGTCTCTGCTCATGTGACAATGCTTCTTCTTTAGATGAGCAAAATATCTGCCCTTTAATGCAAAATAAACAACAAAATACACTATTACAAATTTTTTAGCAAATGTTGAATATGAGAAGTTTATGTGACGCCACCACAAAACTTGTTCAATACCGATAACAACAACCTGAAGTATCTTTAGAACATTAAAGTGAAAGTACACCATGATATTAATCAATGACCGGGGTGCGGTAGATACACAAAGGAACTGTCCAGGTGTCGTACCTTTCCCAGAGAACGAAGGGAGGACGTGCGAGGTAGAGGGCCGTTGAACACCTCCCAAATCAGGCAGCCTAGCCTCCACACCTCCCCCGCCCTGTAAAGAGCACACAGTTCAATACAGAACTTTAATATCACACCGACACTTTACTCAGGTATCTCTACATAGTCCTATTATAAAATTCTTGTTCTGTAATTCTGCACCCGTTTACTTCCTGTATAATATATTAGTATTATTCTGATTTGCTCCTCTGAATTTGTATGTTTTTTGTTGTTTTTTATACACTTGTCTCTTACCATTTCTCTCCACTGCTATTGGGCATCTCTGGTGGGTCATATTTCTCCATGTCTGGGTAAACAGCCTTGGGAGCAGGGAGTGAGACCCCGGTTGGGTCACCCTGCTCAGGTACCACATGGTCTAAACCCCCGAGCTTCCACTCCCCAGCTCGATCCACAAAAACAGACCATACACCCAAGTTGTTATGGAGCAGGTGGCAGTCGTTGACCAGGAAACTCAGAGCTTTCTGTGGGGGAGTAAGGGGAGTAAGTGCTTAGAGAGGACAGGTGACAGAACTACGGCTCCCCTGAAAGCACGGCTCCTATCCTTACCACTATCTGGTGCAGTCCCCAGGAGACCTCCAGCTCCCCAGATCCACCCTTCTCTGCCTGGGCCTTCAGGTGGACTGCCAGGGGTGTCACCTGCTCAGTGACCAGGTACAGGCTCTTCTCCGTCTGTGAAACAACAAGTTACTGTTACTGTATGTAATTATTATTTATGTTGAACAGTATTTCATAAGGAATACTGTTTTCACCACAGACGTCTATTAACAAGCAATTCATGTAAATACTGAATTATTACCCAGACCTGCTTCACTTAACTTAACTTAACTTAAGTAAAACACATTTAAAAGGGATCTATGGTAGGAATTATACTATACTAAGGACTTCGGCACTTCAATTTCATGCATTCTGATAAGTGGAAAGCAGCATCTTTAGAATTATGAAGAAAACAAACATGAACACGGAGGAAGACAATGAACACACATACTCTATACCCAGTAATAATAATATTTCATTCATATTTGATTTTCAATTCATTATTTTGGCAAAACATGTAAAAGATGAACCCATTTCAACAGTGTGCTATTAAAAATAGTACAGCACTACTGGACTATAAGTTGGGGGGTATTAAGAATCGTGTTGAGCCCAAAAAAATAAAGAAAACAGTGCTTAAATTCTGTCGTACACTACTCACTAACTAACTAACTAATAACTTTAGTACAAATATTACAGGCCAATGGTAATCACACTCACCTCTATCTGAACGTAAACATGCAGAGAAAAGCAGACGATGGGGATGAGACACTAAATATATGTTAGTTACATGACAAAACACTCTACACACTATTATTCTCACGGTGCATGCTGTGTGACATTTTCCTCTCAACAATACGAACAGTGTGTGTGTACAGCCACAGAGCACTCACAGATACATACCTCCAATCCATCAACATAAGCCAGGATGTTGGGGTGACGCAGGGTCTTCATACGCTTGAAGGCAGCCTTGGCCAGCTGGGTTTGCTGCTCTGTTCCCTGTGTTACCTCGTACACGAACACCGACACCGGCTCTCCATTGGTCTGAGGACACAGGTGGAGGTGAAATCAGTGACTCCAATTCACTCTAATGTCACACTTCATCATATTAAACGCTTTGTAATGAAAATAACCAAAAACAGCAGCTGAAAAGTCAAATACACAACTATCATATCTCCTCATAGGATGTTTAATGCAACTAATCTAACCAGGATGAAACAGGAAGCTGGTGGTGGGCTGTCAGCCCCCGGCCCTGCAGGGACACACTGACAGTACAGATTGAGCTGATAATAAAGAGGACAGTCGGGTATGTGAGGTGCTGATGGGGATTAGCGACCAAACCTTCATTAAGGTGATAAAGGAATAGCTTGAAAACGATTATAATAAGTAGAGTTGTGAACTGGGCAGGAAAAAAAACCGGGTGACGTGGCGAGAAATACGTGTCTGTCTCTCGGAGTAAACAAAGCCCGAGTTCACTTCGTTAGCGAAGAACAGCGGACACAAAGAGCAGCCGGGACGAAACAGCGAGGAAGAGGAGGGACACGCTGACATATCTGACGTGAAACCACGCCAAGACAACAGCGGGGGTCGTGTATTAAAAGGCTAAATCAAAGTAGCGAACAGACAGTAGCTCCCCCGGCTAACCGACAGGCCTCCACAACGCAGCGGGCTAACTTTAACCGTCCGCCGGGGATCGGTCGCTCTCTGCCGGCTGTTACCTTCCTCTTCCCCCGATGAAGAGTCCATATTCCAGACTTCTCCTGGCTGTCTGGCAGGATTTCATAAGCAAAGTCTTTGACAGGATCCCTGGCGAAAAAGGACCACATCTCCTCTTTCCTCCACACTCATCAAACACACACACACACACAGACTGCTAGCTGCTAGCGTTTGGTACGGATGTATAATGGCTCCGTGTAAACTCTGTTTGTGCACATTGGTTCCGCGATAGGTGGATTTTTGGTACAGCTCAAATTAATTACATAATGGCATTGTAAGTAAGAACTACATTCACAAATTTAACTGTAATTATTTTTGGGGATTAATTGGTTTTATTTCATTGTCATGCACTATTCTGTGGTATTACAAAACACAGCAACAATATATTTTTATATATCATAGTCTTATATTTTCTATTATATCTTTATAATATTTTTATTTTGTGATTCTGTATTGTACTTTTACTCTTCTGTACTTTTTGCACTACATTCCCTTATGCTGCTGTGTCTGACTTGAATTTCTCCCAGGGGGGATCAATAAAGAAACATCTTATCTTATTTTATCTTATCTTAATAGCCTGGATGGCCACAGGACAAATCATAATATACAGATCCACACATTCAAAAAGAAAACATTTCATAAGATTACATTTATTTTCATGACCAAAACTCTCTTATTATGCCGGATACAGTGCTCTCTATCTTGAAATGCCATGCATGTTTTCAGATGATCAAGATCAGTCTTGCTAAAACAAAAATCTCTATCTTGAAGATCAAACTCAACATTTCACTTTCAGACAAGCAAAACAAATCTCAACAGAAGGTTCCTCAAGTCATTGTACAAGTACATGGGGCAGTGAAACAGAAAATTAAATGCATACATAACAACACCAACATAACAGAAAACACATTAATGCTGCTCTTCAGGGATACCTTTATATAATAATCAATTATTTATCTCTTAATATAAAAGTTATCTAGGTAAAGTCACAAATGTTCCATCAGATACTGTTCATTTGTAGCAATGAACTCAAAATGCACCACCCTATGGAAGTTCAACTCAATATCAAAGAATGACATTTAGAAATGATGAGCGATTAATTACAAATTCATTAGTTATTCCTGTCTATGCTACAGTGAAGAGTGTGAAACCTATGAACAGAATAGTCTTATACATTATCATTGGGATAACGCCTGGTCAATGAAGTAATAGTGAAATTAAAATATTCCACATCTTTGTTGGGTTTGTAAGGAGGGTCCCGAAAAAATCAACCCAGGTTGAGAACCACAACTGTAACTTTAAATAGTAAATGTGTGAGTAGATGTGTGTTCAACCAAATGATCACAAACAGTGGCTGAAATATTTGTTTTGCCCTCCTTTAGTGTAAGGATCTCACTATAGGATGGTAGTTAGTATTTACAGACTATTTTAAACATGGAGGAACAGGACAAAGTTGTTGTGCCAAATAAACAAAAATGAATACACTAAAAGTTAAGTTTACTTTACACAAACAAAAGAGATAAAAAGTATAACACCTAACACGACTGTACATAAAGGGCAAACAACATATCGCTCCTTCAAACATTAACAGGACCCCAAATGCTCCTACCAGTCAACAGTACTGTCTGTTATTTGGACACGTACCAACAAACTGCTTAAAGCTCCAATAGAAACACCATTGTGTGTTCGCGCTGTGGTGGTCTGGGTTTCGGGGCATTTGTAATCCAGGCATGCCAGGGAGGGGCCGTCCACATAGTTATCTGGTTGTTCATAACAGGTCGCCAGCTGCAACTTTTTCACTTTCACATATGAAACAAAGCCAAAGTAAATGTAACCCATATAACAGCACTATAGGAGCTGGAGAGGCTCTGGTTTTAGGATTTATCTCAACTGTGTAATTTGATCAGAGTAATTGATTATGTGAATTATTCAGTGAACACATTTGTAGAACAAGATAATGCTATGGGAACAGGTTTAGATATTTTAGTGTTTTAGTTTCAACCATTATGTCTGCATCTTATTTAGTTTCTTTCTCTGCAGCTTCACAAAGACAGATGAGTTCAGAAGGAACCTGAATAATTTAAGTAGAAACATAACTAATGCAGTTGCTTCTACACAGCTGTACTTCAGAGTAGTGAACATCCAGTCACGCTCTGTAACATGTAGAAAACTACATGGCATGTACATTCAAGCTACTTAAATGACTGATGGTATCCCTGTTCTGTTCAGTTTGTTCCATTGGCACATAATTCATGCTGTTAAATTTGTTTTTGTACTGTGTTTTGTGACAGTGAGATATGCTGCTGTACTGGGCAGGGTATTGGTTATTGGCTTTATAAGCCCTCAGCCATTAAATCAAACCAGAGCTGCGATACCTGGCCGTCAGGAGACTCAACTCCCCCCTCCCACATCTGATATCATGTCGTCAACACCCCCCCCCCC